TACTAAAAGAGGGAGGATGCAAAGTTTTTTTCAAGCCCATTAAGATAGCACTGATGCTCTGTAAATAAAATAGAAAAACAAAAACTGAAAGCTTCCAGAAGGTGGAAACAGCAGAAGGCAATAAGAAGGCCTTCCTCCTCTTTTGCTTCTTAAGAGAGGCAGGCCAAATAGGGCCACTTGAGGTGCATTTGCCTTGTGGGTGCAAGGATTGCAACAAATGGTATAACAGACTCCTACGTGACCTTTGTTGCTGTGTATTGCCAAGTCACCACCAACTCATGGCAACCCTACGAATGAGTGCTCTTCAAAATGTCCTCTCCTCCCTCAGCCACCGTGCTCAGTTAGTTCCTGCAGACTCAAGCCTGTGATCTCTTTCAAGGAATCAGTTCATCTCATATTTGGTCTTCTTCTTTCCCCGCTGCCTTCCACCTTTAACAGCATTATATCAAGCCTGAGCTAGCCCGTTCTAATTGAGCTACCTAGCCAAGCCCTTAGACTGAATGTTTCTTAGATATTATGATCTACAGTTATGAAACAAATTAACTATATTCTCTTGAGCAGTAAATGAGTTATACTGAAGCCTAGCAGAAGTCTAGTAGAACTTGCTATTTATTCCACTATCTACCCTCCAACCACCAAACCTAAAGCAGAACCAACCAGGCTTAGGAAATGACCTGAAGTAGATGCTTCAAACTCCTTCCCTTCTCTTCATTGTGCAGAGGTAGAGAAAATAAAAATGCTTGAGGTTGACACAAATTGTGCTAAATCAATGTAATATCTCCATACTAACTCAATAGAAAAGAAGGCATAGGAAGAAAGTATCCTGAGGCCAGCCATATTATTAGACCAAGGGCATCAGCTGCCTCAGATGGCAGTCACTAGAGAGTTGCAGTGGCACACTGCATTATTCCCCTCAATCTCCTGATCATTTCACTTTGTTTAGCCACACCACCTGTCCCACTTTTCCTAAGTAAAGGACCCTGCTTCATTGCCAGTGTGAAACTAAGATTCTATGGTCAGTCCAATTGGTCTTGGTACATATTTATATCATGTTCTTTGCTTCAGGCAGTAAAAAGGCCTCAGGCTGGCCCAGTACATAACAGAAGGTCCTGGGATTCCTTGGTCAGAATCCTGTTGCTGTCTTGTAGCATGAATTAGGAACTGAGCATGCAGTGTGTGCAATCTTGCCCACTGTCTTCTGTACACTCAAATAAGTCTGAGTTGCACAATTGGTTGAGCTCTAAGTTGTCACCACATGCATGACTGACCGTACATGAACGGTGATTTGCAACAGGGGTTTAGCCTTTCTGTTCAGAGGCATGCTTATCTGTGTGGCCAACAATGTTGGTTGTGTATATGGCTGTATGATGCAGAAAGAGAGAATCTTATATCTAGAAGACAGATTAAACTGGTTTTCAGGTCTCAAGAGTTTTCATCCAATTACTTAGAACCTGTATTGAGACACTCTGGATGCTTTCCAGACAACTCTTTTATCACGCAATCACATCTGTAAGGTGCCCCACATGGGACTGCTTTTGGGAAGTGTTCAGAAAACCCACCAGTCAAAAACACACAGCCAGATTGTTAACTGGGGCTGGTTACAGAGAACATAAATTTCCCTGTGACAGCTGCTCCACTGGCTGCCAATTTGTTTCCAGGCACAATTCAAAGTGTTGGTTTTAATGTAGAAAGCCATAAATGACTTGGGTCCAAGCTATCTAAAAGACCATATATTCCCTTATAAGCCTACCCAGGTATTAAGATAATCAGGAGAGGCATTTCTCTCGGTCCCACCATGGCACTGTACAGCAAGAATTACGCATCTCAAATATGGCAATTGATACACATGAAACATACTTTGAAATTATAACTTGAAAGTTTATCTTTCCTTTGTGCTACAGAATCTACAGAATGAAGAATTGTGGTACTTATGTAAGCAATTATTCCCAGAAGCGAGGTCTACCAGAAACTAAACTGCATCTCCTATAACATACACGTCTCAGGTTTTCATACTCTCCTCTAAGAGTCGGAGCAATTTAACGAATGAGGGGAGGGGAACAAAGCAGTGAAGAGAGAAAAAGGTGGGATCCAAGCATGGAACATGCAATAAACTAAAACGGTAAGAGATTATTTATCATTATAATTGAAACATTAAAAAAAAGAATGAGGGATTTACATATTTCCCACAGAACAAACTTGCAGGACCTCACAGGGAGACATGATATGTAAGTGTCAAAGCTACAAAGGTGGAAAGATTCTGTAAGCAATTTATTAGCAGAAGAAGTACTGCAGGTCAAAGGACAGATGATTTAAGAAGACGTGTGAGATTTTGCTAGCAGAATTCCATTGGCGATATTAAACAAGATTCAACAGCTGGGAATTAATCCTCTTCAAACAGGAAATTAGAAGAATCCTACCTACCCCCCCCCCC